ATCAATTTCGTCAAGAGGCGCAATCTACATAGCGCGTAAGGTTTTATCCAGTGTCGTGTTTTGAACAAATGAGTAACTTGGGTGGGAGCGTAAATGTGGAAGCATTTAGGTCTACTAGTGAATCGATGCCGGCTGCAGTGTCCACGCGGTCTGAGGCATGGCCACTGCGACCGTGGGTTCGAGTCCCACTCAAGGCATGAATGTTTGTCCGCGTCTCCTCTTCCAGTCTGGTAGGTAAAGACCGAAGGAAGTGCGAACCCACCGTGGTACTTTCGCATGAGCGCCCCGAAAGGGGCCACGACGGTCAGGTATTGACCAGAGACGACTAAAATAAGTGAATCGATATTAGAGAGAGGGTATGCCTTCTTATTGCATAGTTAGTTGAACTGGGAGCTATGAGCATTTATCTTACGCACGAGTAGGTCTCTGCCCTATAGAGTATTAGGTTGCCTGTAGATACATGCTTGTAAGTAAGTACGGTTGGGGAGATTCGTCAATAGGTGATATAGTTGGTCTGTGCATGCTGAACTAGCTGGCCAATGCAGAACTAACTACACGTTTTGTTTCCCAGTTTTATACAGATTTTTTATATGTGTATGAATCTCACACTCACCACGCATTTCATCTCCAGGACTACTGATCTGGTGTCTATGAGACTTAGTATTGGGAGTCTTTAACTGAAAAGATATTAAACTAGTTTAATTGCGGGTCATTGTGAAATATAAATAAATTTTACGTTAGTTGCTGGAAGGTTGAACAGTTGAAGACCGCATTATCGCGAGTCCCCATGTTCACTGTTTTCAATATGTAAAGTTTTTATGCACAATGTATTAACACCTCCATAACCTCTCGTCAGCATTTGCCATCGTAGAGATTGCTAATATTCACTGTTTACTGACCGTCTCGGAGTTCGCATGGCTCCTGTTATACTTCTATTCCTTGCTTTAAGGTGACACCAGAGCATGGTTTCTTTTTTAATCTGGCCATCTTAGTTCCATATTTATTATAGGGGATACAGACACGACTGCTTTATAATAACTTTGGACATTTTTCTTGATAATACTTAAGCATTTTTTGCTTTGTAATGTCAATCCGTCTGTACTCATATAACAGATTAGTTCTGAAAGAGATTCTGTGATGAATTTCTTTATCTCAAGACTTCATTAAAATATATGCGATGATGTGTGGTTGTTTCAGGGGCGCTTGGTATTTCTCCTAAATAGTTTAAAGGTTGTTACAACTAATTAATTCGAGGCTGGTTTCTAAAGGAATGCATGCATCTGATATTTGAATATTTTTATGAAAAACTCAATACCATATAATACATGAGATTGCATTCGTTAAAATTCATGCTGCGTCTTTAATTCTAAGGCTAACTCGAATTCGGGAGTTCAGTTATACGAACACGAAACTTGAAATCTTCTTTTGACTGCAAATATGTTACGGAAATATTAATTTGTAAATAGCAAAGTACATGTTTTCTTCACCCAAAAAACTTAGAGTTTTGACTGCCCGACTAATACTGGAATGCCTTGTGTTAAATAGTGCCTCATTAATTTGACAGTACGTCTGTTCTGCAGTTCGGGCTTCTAAACATTCATTCATCAATCTTAACAGTGCCTTGTGATGTCTCCCCTCGCTCACCAGTTGTGATGGATCGGTGCCGTTATGAATGCATTGATAATAATTTTCAGTTAGTACAACTCCAACAGAATACTTGCTGTAGCGGTTGACAGTTTGAATGGATAGTTCTGTCTCTCCACCCAGCGAGACATGAATATTGGTTGTCACGGAGATATACAATGTTGTGACTAATGAAATAAGCCCCAACCTGCCTGTCATGTAGGATGTGTGTCTTCAATTTCCGGGAGAATAAAGGTTGTTATAATCACTCAAACTGTCTAATGAATAAAAATACATCGAAGTAGGTAGTAGTTTAATATGATGAAAATAATTATGTTATCAAGTACAGCAGGAGAAAAATGCATCCGAGCCGTTTGACGAACTAAATTCACTATCTGAGCTGACGTACAAACAATTATTGTTGCAGCACTGATTTGGTTATTAAACATTATGATTTGTATATTTGTAATTTCTGAATGAATTGTAGCAGAAACATGTCGAAATGGATACTGCTTTGTAGGATTTGAGGTTTTCACGGCGGTGAGTCTGAAGATCGCTGTCTTCTGGGTTGTTGCGTTGTGTAGTCTGGTAGAAGTTTACCGACGTCCTGATTATGGAGGCAGCAAGGACCTCTGAAACGTCGGTAAACATCTACTAGACTAGACAGCGTAACAACGCAGAAGACAGCAATCTTCTGGATACTGCTAATCATATAAATAATTGGATGATGCAGGGTCTTGAATAGTGACGTTTGTTTAGCAGGTAAACAAATTTCTCCGATATTAAGGAACCGCGAAGGTTTATTACCGTGTTCACAGAAGCACGCCATTCCCTTATTCATTCCGGTCCACACAAAAGAAGTGGTAACATTGTAGCTTTATTCTGTAAGATAAAAAAGGTACAAAGTTCAGAGGGGAACTGTAGCAAGAATTTATTTAATTTTAATATGCCCTTAATTGTATCATGAATATAATTTTTACATGTTACTGCCATTCTCAACTTAGCCATTGTAAAATGATTTGTTAGTTGTGCTTGTGTTTTTAGTTTATCGTGCAATCTAGTGACGAGACATGGATATAGGCCTGTATGTACTTCTTATCTGCTTATTTCTTATGAGATATCTTTACAAGCTTCTGGTTGAGGTTTTGTGTTCTTGTTTAGGTATTTATGTTTCCGCTTGATAAATTGGCATCAATTGCTACACATAGAGTAATTTTAATAAGAAATTAGCTTACTGGACAACTGAATACTGCAGACTGAGCAATGCACAGCACCCTCTGGAATGCTGATAGTCCAGCAGAGATTCAAAATGTGTACCTTCTGATTACAAGTGTTACACTACATATAAAACTATTCAGCCATCTTCTGATTCTATATAAAACAAATATTTGTAGACTGAACTGGGTAATATCTGAACTATCTGGTAACTTAATTTGTAGACTGTTGGTGTTTATTTAATAAATTCAGTACTTCTTGCCTCTTTGTTTTCTTTGTTCTGAATATAAAACCCCACTTTTTTTATTTTATAATAATCTTGTTTTTACTTAGTTATAGAAATAACAACTGTCATATATATATTTCATCACATTTTACTTATGTGGAGACTTGAGATTTAATGTATTTTTAATATATTGACTTGTTATGTGCACATGATGGAATTAACATTCAAAATACTTTTTTGCTGGTATTAGTCCTCTTGCTAAACAAAGATTTTTTAGTACAAATTGTGTTAACTTCTGATCATCCAACATAAATTGATATGTAGAAATTTTAATAAATGTTGGTTAGATCGAACACACTTTACAAAATAAAATTGTTAGATATTAATGGCTGATGTCAAACTTAGAAATTCATAGAAGTCTGTTTAAGAGACTAGAGATCCAAGCTCTTCTGTGTGCATGCATATTCTCACTAATGAACTTCATTGTAAATAACTCAGAACATTTCCAAATTAAGTCTGCTGTTCACATTGTCATCACAAGGAATTAGAATCAGCTTCACAGATCAATTTCCAACCTCTCATATTTTGCAGGAATCAGTATTTTCAACAATTTACCATCAAGTCGCACAAATCCTCTTAAAAAGGCATATTTTAATGTAGTATTAAGAAGATACTTAATTACACAATCTTTTTACATTCTTGATGAATTTCTAATGCTCACAAATAAGTCTTGTTAATAAATTTTTCTTGTATTCACATAGTAAAAATTGGAAGTATAATTTATATATTGTTGTAATTGGTGGATGTATTTGGAACTTGTCATTAATTTTGTGAACCCCTTGTTTATATGTGAAATTTTATAATAGTACATATTGTATTATTATGACTTACTCAGCATACTGTTGTCATCTACCTTACGGATTCATGGAATGTAATAAAGATTTTTCAGTATAACATAACAGTTAAACATTATATTGGCATTAACTTGTGGCTAAATATTTAATAAATAAAGCTTATTTTTGATTGCTGCGTGAGTATGTGAACTTTATATAGATAAGTATTCTTAATTTTTAAACATTGTTGTGTGGTATGAATATTTTATTTTAGGTTATAAAATGAAGTTTGTTAGATTATAAGGTTTTGATTACAAGTATTTTTCTGATGTGCACTTTCCTTACTTGACTGCATTTCACATGATAGCTGAGAATTATGATAGTTACCACTTAAGTTTTTGCTACAAAACTGATGTAACCTATTTGAATCAGATACTGCACAGTCAATAAGCTTTTTTTGTATCATGAGTTTTCTTTGAGGAAAGTAATGAAACTTTTGTTGACAGTTTTACTAACAATAACAAATGTGATCATTATGTTTTATTTAATTCTTTAAATACTAACAGCAGTGGAAAGCTCTGCTTTGAGAATGTAGCACAGAAGTATAAATTATGTGCATAGTAAAAGTCGGATGATCACACGTTCAGGAGTATCCATGCCCATTCCTCAGAGAGACAAAGAAATATGAAAATAGGTAATGTGAGGAAGCAGGCTAGCAAAGAATGAAGAAGGCAGGGAGGCTTTAGAATGGTAATCTATTTGAAGTCATTTCTTATTCAAATGGCAATAAAGAAAGGAATTTCCAATCTTTGAGTGGGATTTGAAAGAAAGGAAATAAAAGGTTGCAAAATGAATCAAAGGCAAAGAATATAGAGAACATAAATGTGGATGAAGGTGAATTTTAGAGAAAGAAGGCGGGCTGAATAAGATTCAGGTGGAGGTTTTGTAATAGATAAAGTCATGAAAGGCTTCATTTAAAGTCATTTAGTATTCTTTGTAGACACTGATCATTGACATTGGAATTACTACTGTTTTATAATCACTGCATCTGGGAAGCATTTGTAATTGTGAAGTTTGATAATTTATTTTATATTTGTTTTTAGGTTTACAAAAAGAAGACAGAAGCTGCTAAGAAGGAATATTTGAAGGCTTTGGCAGCATACAGGGCAAGCCTTGTGTCCAAGGTAACTAAACTAAACCATATTTTCTTTATTTAGTTTGGTTTCTTTATTTAAGAAGTGTTGTGTTGCTTTGATTCTATTTTAATTCCCACATAACTCATACTATGATGACAAATTCCTCTTTATGCAACTAGATTGTTGAATGATACTGAAGATCTGTCTTCTATGCTCTGAATACGTTTGTCTTGCTTACTCTAGTGTCGTCTCCTGCCATTGATACAATACAGTGTAGATTATTATGTCATTGACTTAGAGAAAAGAAGTATGAATACTGCCATGTTATTTGTTTTCAGTTTCAATAATAAAATAAATTATTGTTAAAATCGTTTGAGGACAATATATTTTAGATTTGGAATTCTGTTGGAAATGTAACATTTTGTGCTTATGTATGCTGTTCATTTGTCACTATCTTTATCCCTTTTCTTGTTCCTTGCATAAGGTGCATAAAATGAATGCATATGTGGCTGACTGTATTTGTTTTTCCATCTGTTCACATGATGCAACTCAACTGCAGGACCCATTTTGATTAAATTTGGTATTTACATTTATATCATTGGGGACAACCCTCTGGGTTAACTCAGTCAGTATAGTGACTGGCTGTGGACTGGATGACCAGGGTTTGATCCCCGATGGGGGCAGCGGATTCTTCCTCTAGCCTTGCTTCAGGAATGGCTCTGGGGCCCACCCAGCTTACTATCAATGGGTACCAGGGTATTTTCCCTGGGGTAAAGCGCTAACCACTTACCTTCATGTATTGCTGTGGTTAAGAATGAGTAGGAGCTATACCACCTCCCCCCCCAAGCGCCTACATGGTGTATTGTGGGACAGCTTTATTTATTTATTATTTTTTTACTTTACAATCTATAATACAAACGATGGATGAAAGAACTTGTGAGGTGGTAGTGATAATAGCACCATTTAATGTTGGGACATACAATGATTTACTGTAATAGTTCTTCAAAAATATCACCCTACTACAGTAATTATTTGTACACCCATAAACAACAGCATTGATGTATGATCTGAAGCTTTCACATGGACTAAGTATAATAAATTCTTCTCGGGCTAGCAGCCACGTAAGGTGGCTTAATGAAGAAAACACCAACGTTTTGAGAACTTTGGCTCCACCAGGATTTGATCATATGACCGTCGGCATACAAGTCCAATATATTACTGCAGAGCACTCTCATTGTGTTACGATGTTATTGAGTTACATTATTTAAAGAATGTAGAGCATATTATTTTCAAAATTGTAAGTTCTAGTTTTATATATTAAATAAAACACATTTTCATTTTGAATACTTTCTCTTTAGAATTAATAGGTTAAGAGACATTTCAACATATAGGCTATACATTTCACTTATTGGTTAGTTTGTAATATGTATAGAAACAAAGTCAGGGTGCTGTGTTTGAAATTGTGCTACTCTATCAACAATTAGTTTCTAATAAATGAACAAATCAATCGAAAGGAAACAAATCAACATATAAAATGTATGCCTTTTATTGATAATAATAGTAATAATAGTGGAAGGTAATAAATTGGATTGCCTTGTGCTCAAATTTTTTTGTGAATAAGATAAATAGGTAAGAGTTAACAAATAAATTATATATTGAAAATAAATACTTCTTTCTTCATCATGTGCAACATTTTACTATGCTTATGGAGAAAATATTTTGGTAACATATGCGTAGTTATGTGTATATTGACGAGAATGGGGATCTGCTCATGAACTCACGTGGCATCATAGATTGATGGAAAGATTGCTTTAGTAAGTTACTAAACGTTCATGTAGCTGATTAATTTAAAGAGCTTGAAGTACATACAGCAGAGTCTTAATGCTGGAACCAAGCCTTAATGAAGTTGAAATTGCCATTGGGAAATTAAAATATTATAAATCTCCAGGCATCAAGTCAGTTCCAGTGGTAGGATACTGCACTTAGAGAGACATAAGCTTATTGTCTTGATTTGAACCAGGAAGTACTACCACAACAGTGGAAAGAATTAATTGTTGTCCCAATCCATAAAACAGGTGAGAAACTGAGTGCAGTAACTTCTGAGGTATCTTCTGTCAACATCATACAAAATTTTATCGAATATTATTTTGGCATGATTAACGCTACTTATAAAAGAAACTATCGGGGATGATCAGTGTGGATTCCACTGTAATAGGTCAGCTATTGATCAGATCATTTGGTTTCGACAAATATTAGAGAAAAAGTGGGAGTATGTCAGTGGACCAACCATTGGTGGACTTTGGGAAGGCATATGACTCAGAAAATAGGTACTGTTGGTTGAGTTTGGAATACTAAAGAAACTTGTTAGGTTAATTAAGATATGTATGGGGTATCTAGTACAGTTCGTATACGTAACCTTCTGTCCGATAACAATGGGGGATGCTTTGTACCCAATGCTTTTTAATTTTTCTCTAGAACATGTCATCAGGAAGGTCTGAGGTAATTAATAAGGGCTTGAATTGAATTGTCTACACCAGGTACTTGCTTATATTGGTGATGTCAATCTTATGGGGGGTGGGGTGGGTACCATAACGGAGAATGCAGAAACTGTCCTACAGGCTAGCAAGAAAATAGGCCTAAAGTAAATGTAGACAACACTAAATGTATGGGTGTATTACAGGATCAACATCAGCAACAGCGGTAGAACATAATTATAAGTAACACATCAGTTGGAAATGTTTCTAAAATTTAAGTATCTGGGAACAACAATAACAATCAGAAATGAGGTTCACAATGAAATTAGGAGTGGAACACATTCGGGAAGGGCTTGTTTTTATTCAATTCAAAAACTGATATCATCTCATTTGCTATCAAAAACATAAAGGTCAGAATATATACAACAATAATTTTGCCTGTTTGTGAAACATGGTCTCTTACCTTGATGGAAGAACGTAAATTACAAGTGTTTGATAACAAGTTACTCACGAAGATGTATGTACCTAGGAATGATGAAATAAGTGGGGAATTTAGAATATTGCATATTGAGGAGCTGCATGAATTGTGTAGGTCTCCTAACATTGTGAAGATGGTGAAATTTAGGAAGCTCCGATGGGCTGGAAGCAAAGGGGGGTTGCAAGGGGTGCGTACAGAATTTATGTGGGGAATACTTCTAGAAAACGGCCACTGGGCAGACCAAGAAGAATGTGGGAGGATAATATAAAGATGGATCTTAGGGAGGTAGGCTGTGAGGATGGTAAATGGATAGAATCAAAGAATGCATGTGGTAGCTTGTATATTCTAGTATGGATTACATCTTTTTAATTATGTTTCAGTGTTGTTTTGTCCAGTAGTGTTGTGCATAATTCCCTTTTTTATTATTATCAACTATGTATCATAGCTTATGCACATTCACCTGGCTGCCAGCCTTGTAGTAAAGGGTTATAAATATCCTATTTTATGTGATATTGGTTAAGATAAGTTCTTATTGAACTTAATTTTGTTTTATGTGGAATTAGCTCTATGAGCCAATGTTTTGTAATCAGCTACAACACTGCATGATGTAATAAAACTGAAGATCACAATAATGATTTCATTACCATGATAATCTGAAATTTTGTATGGAGTGGCAACACTACATAGAATTTTATAATTCGAATCCCTTTATATGAAGAGATCCAATTTACTTATTAACTTATGCTTTGCAAAATAACACAACAGTTACCTGAATTCTTTCAGTTTTGTTATTAAAGTTTAGACCCATTTTCAGAAGACCCCAAAAGACCACACTTGTGTATTATATTATGTACTTTTCAATTTAAGGGTAACTTTCAAGACTATAGCTCCTTAGTCAATGAAATTGCAGTGAGTGTTTGACTTGTTGTGGGTTTAACTCTTCATTATAATTTGCAATTTTTGTAGCCTTCTGTTTTGTGAATACTGGTGGACTGTTTTCACGTGCATTCTGAATGATATGTCCAGTTTATGTTTTTATGGTCAGTTATATTAAACACAGCAGTAACTTTATTTTAACACATATCGTACTCAAATTTTCATTGGATTGAAAATTTACTTTCTAAGAGGTACTCACCAAACATTGTGTGTTCTTTCTCATTTCTCCATTTGAACTGATTTTGTGGTCTTTGATATCACCATCCTTAATGATACACAGTGATCATTATTCATAAAAGTCTTTACTCTAACATCCTGTAGACTGTATCTATTAGAGCACTTTGTTTTATTGAAATGCTTGATGTCTCTTATATTTTTGTCTTTTGTATGTCAAAAATGTTAGTTTTTAAAATTACACTGAAACATTAGACTACTGGTTTCATACTTTGTGGATAATATTAATTGATATCACAATGAAACATGCATGTGATTGTACAGGGGGCCGGTGACTCTGAGAACTTGTATGGAGGCTATGCAGGTTATGGAGGTGCTTACAGTGGGTATTCACCACCTACAGCTCTCCCCTCACCACCCATGGCTGCACCCACTTCTCAGCAGCAACAGCAGCAACAACAACAACAGCAACAACAACAGCAACAGCAACAACAGCAACAGCAACAACAGCAACAGATGACCAATATGGCCAAGAAGACACCTCTTCTCAGTTCCATGATGACTGAGAGGGGTAATGGACCACCACAGCAGGGCATGATGGGGTCACCAATGGGTCCCGTTGGAGGACATATGCCATCATCACATCTTCCACCACAAGTGAACCAAAGCAGTTATATGCAGCAGGTAATTAAATTATTATAAATATCACTCAGCCGAAACAAACACTATACTGTAATAACCACACTATTATGAAGCAGGGTGACCAGACGTCTCATTTTAACAGGATTTTCCTGGTTTTGAGGGAGGTGCCCTGTTGTCCGTACAAGGATTAAATGGGATACCAAATAGTCCCATTTTTCAACAGTGCTGATTTGTTTATAACCGATACAGATTTTTTATTATGGCATACAAGCAGCAGCTGGAGCTTAGATGCTTAACTAACTAGATGGCTTACCGAACCCAAAGGTTCATCACCGAATTAACCAAAGCCCTCCACCAGACCCTGTGTTGGGCCAACAAAATCCAGCCTCCTTCAACTTCTATCTCCCATAGATCCCACCTGACATTAACCCCCCCCCATCTACGTCTAGGTCTCCCTAGTGATCTCTTCCCCTCAGGCTTCCCAACCAATACCCCGTGCACACCTCTTGTCCCATCCATGCACGCTACATGCCCCGCCCATCTCATTCTTCTTGACTTAATCACCCTGACAATACTGGGGGAGGAGTACAAATTTTTAAGTTTGTCATTATGTAGTTTTCTCCATGCCCCATCATCTTTTCTCCCAGGCCCAAATATCCTCCTCAACACCCTATTCTGAAACACCTGCAATCTGTGTTCCTCCCTCTGAGTGAGAGACCATGTTTCGCACCCATACAAAACAACAGGCAAATTATTGTTTTGTTATACTTTAATTTCCAGGTTCTTAGAAATCAGATGGGAAGACAAAATATTTTGAACTGAGAAGTAGCAAGCATTTCCGGAATTTAGTCTCCTCACAATTTCCACGTGAATATCGTTTTGATTTGTTGTTATTGTTGTTCCCAAATATTTGAACTTTGTAACCCTTTCAAAGGATTTATTAGCTACCCTAAGACAATTCTGCCCGCCTGTCTGCTGACGACGAGATACCAACATGTACTTAGTTTTTTCTGAATTTACTTCTAGCCCCACCTGTCTACTAGCCTCTAGTAAAACTTCTGCATTCCTCTTTATTGTATTCATATCGTCCCCCAATAAATTAACATCATCAGCATATGCCAATAGCTGATGTGTCCCATTCAATTGCAAACCCTCCTGCCTATCTTGGACTTTCCTGATGGCACATTCTAGCGCAAAGTTAAAGAGCAAGGGAGACAGAGTATCTCCTTGTTTTAGGCCGTTCTTGATGGAAAGTGACTAAGATAAATATTTAATAAGAATCCGTGGTGTTACAACCCTCTAAGAGCCAAAGCCGACTAGCTGGCTGCTGGCCTCACGTTCACATGCCTAAGCAGAGGTGAACGATCATCCAACCAAATATAGAGTGATGTGTGGTCAGCACGACGAACCCTCAGCCATTGATAGTTTTCATGACCGGTTTACGCTACTCATTGTATCTCCCCAATTTCCTCACGATTCTGGGTTGGCACCAGTCCCATACACTGGTCGAAAATCTCATGAGAAATTTCTTTCCCTTCTGCTGATG